CATTATCAATTCATTTATTTTTACTAATCACCACTATTCGCCACTATTCGTCACTGTTCGCGACTTTTCGCATTATTCGGTCGCTATTCGGGTTTTCTCACTAGCCAACAGAAGTTCGTTTGAGAGAGATAACGATGTGTTTGTTTTCGGATTATACATTTTTACTCCCAAAGAATTTACCAATATGGGTCAATAGAATTTCTTAATTTCTGAGCAGAGCCTTCGTCGTTTGTACGAGAAAAAAATTTTCTCTATGAAAGGGGCTTTTTGTGATCAAGAAGGACAGGTTTTTAACTCAAACACGGAATTTCTAAACATGGATGGTACGTGTCATTTGAAATTTTAAATATTTCACTAGCTGTAGCTTAAAACCGTTGTCAAACAAATGTATCCATAAATCAGAAAACATTTTAAACGAGGGTCAAGATTAGAACCAAAAAACTCCTGTTACAGAATGTTTAGTTTGTTGCGTTTGTGTTTGTTTTCTATGGCGAGATCTATGTTAAGAATATGTAGTGTGTTCGTTTCTGTTCCCATGACATTCCACTCCTTCATACTAAGTGCGTCGTCGCTTTCGTTTAGCCTTCTGCTTGCCAGGTGATGATTTGTAGGACGTTGTCACGTTCTCTTTGCAAACTGCTGTCTTCACAGCGCAGAGGCGATTTTCCAGGTAAATGTTCTCCATCAAAGCATGAAGTATATTATCACCTTCCTGAAGTGACTGCCTGTTTAAAGACTCGATAGGATTGGTAGTGCTTGGTCCCTGTTCCCAATCCTTGTCGTCCATTTCCTTAAAAGCCCTTGTAAACATGGTCAGGTGATTTACACGGAACCACCATTTACTCCAATGCTCTAGCTTCGTCCAGTCTTTGTTGTGGATGGTGTCAAATTCCGAGACCAACAAATTGCCTTCCTTCTTGTAATTGTCTGGTGCCAGAGAGCGCATCGAAAAGCAACAAAACATTTCTTTTTCGCACTCGTCTTCGATTTTGCTTGCTAGGGCTTTTAATATGCGAACTAGTGTCATTCATGCAAACAAGCCTGTAGGCTCTTTTAACTGATCGCTGCCAGTGAACCTTGCATCTCCTGATCACTTTCCGGGAAAGGTCTTCACCCAGACACTGTTGAATTCCTTTGTATTGTCCATCATCAAAGTCAACCAAGATAGATTTCAAATTCTTGCCATTTGCGAAGCGGGCATGATCAAACGTCACTTTTTTTAAAATCGTGGCGATGGACTTAGCGTAACTCTCACTGTCTTGCCTACTACATATAACTCTTGCTACCGCATTATACACGCACGTTTCGTCGTTAAAAGAAACAACGTTTAGAAGGTATGGGAAGAAGTCATTACCAGTAGAAGTAACGTCCATGAATAAATCCTCTGTTGTACTCAACAGTGCAGATTGAAATGGAGCCATGAAGAAGGCATACTTTCTGCAAGAAGTAAAGAGGTACTCGCTCCCTTTCATCTGATATTGACCCATCATCTGGTTGACTTATTCAATCACCATACAACTGGTTGCTTTTCACTTTTTTCCGAATTTTATCGAATCGGAGCACCTCGTCGAGTGGGCGTAGCTCTCTGTAAACAGACGTCCATTTGCCAAGGGCTATCTTCCTCTCTTTTTAAACGCAGTCGGCATTTGCTGCAGGCGAACTAGCTTCGGCTGGGACGTAACCAATTCCAAGGCCCTTCACACTGTCTTTTGTTTCTTTTTAGCTGTCATCGGAAACAACTCTTTGGATGTCTTTCACTCTGCTTGATATGCTGTGTGGAGCTGGTTTGTTGTGATTGTGTCGAGTTCCCGGTACAAGACCAACCATCGCCTTCCATCGTCATTGCAGGGCCATATGTAGACCATATGCAAACTACATGGTGCAGATGAAAGAAGAGATTAATTTTCCCAGTGACGTAAGCATCGATTTATCTTTTGTCTTTTAGAGACCAGATACTGACAGTCAGGGCCAGCACAAGTTTTCACGCCTTCACAAGGCCCCCGTCTCACATACAAGGATGTCTTATTACCTTCTACAGTTATGTTGTTCTTCATTGTTTGCGAGCCTCTTATTGGCAGTTGGTTGTCATCCCAGATAAAATGTGGCCGAGTATTGGCTTCAAAAGGCAACCTGCGCCAATCTCTTAAGGTGGCCAATGGTTTCTGTGAGGACTGTAGGTCAGTCTCGAATCCGGGAAATTCGTATTGATCTTTGTCTGTCAGCTTGTGCCAAGTATCAGAATGCTTCAAAACTTCCTTTAACTTTGGTAGGTGATGGTGTCCACGTCCACTCCTTTTCTTGTAAGTTTGGGTTGTCCAATACACCCAAACTGAGTCCGATGGACCAAGGTCATGAACAACCAGACTCGCCGGAAGTCAGTTCGCGAGAGACTTAGTAAATATACAACAAAGTATAGAGTTGCGGACTGGGTGGAAATACATGTCGGCAAACGGCCGGACTCCATCAAATCCGATGGAGACGGGTTGCCGTGGCAAGAGTATATCGAACTCGCCGCGTGTTAGTTCGCTAGATACTTAGAAAACATACAGCAAAGTAGAGTAGTGAAAGGGGTGAAAAATGTCGGTAACGGACTCCGTCGGATCCAATGGAGACGGGTCGCGTGGCAAGAGTCATCGGACTCGCCGCATGTCAATTCGCGATAGACTTAGAAAACATACAGCAAAGTAGAGTAGTGAAAGGGATGGAAAATGTCGGCAAACGGACTCCGTCGGATCCGATAGAGACGGGTCGCTGTGGAAAGAGACCATCGGACATCGCCCCGTGTCAGTTCGCGAGACACTTAGAAATATATAGCAATGTTGAGTATAGTGAAAGGGATGGAAAATGTCGGCAAATGGCCTCCTTCGGATCCGATGGAGACGGGTTGCCCTGGCAGCATCTGCGCACTTTAATAATTTACCTGAACTTAAACTTTCACCAAATATCTCCGCCGATGAAATACGTCACAAATAAACTCCCAATCAACGAGTCAAGGTCTAAAGCCTTAACGATCACCGGAAAGCGCCTGGCGTCTAAGATCAATAATGAACTTGTTGTCACAGTTGAGGACAATAGGCTCGTAAATGGAAAAAGTCCAACACTTTCAGGTTTAACAATCGATAGTTCACTCTCATTTGATTGTCATGTTGAAAATCTTTGCAATAAGCTTGCCTCGCGCATAGGTCTTTTGAGTATAATCAGGCCCTTTCTGTCACTTGAACAGCGACTGTTGCTCAACAATGTCATTATTCGCCTAGTAATGAGCTATGCTGACGTCATTTGGTCATCATGTGACAAGGAACCACTTTACAGAGTCTTGAAATTACAGAAACGTGCATCTAGAATCATTTCATATTCCGACCATCTAACACCCTCTCTGACACTTTCTATAAGCTGGGATGGATACCTTTTTATGAACAGTAAAATTAACAAATGTGTTATTTTTTAGAAGCGCGTAAATGGCTCTCTTCCGAACTATCTCAATGAACACTTGACGATTAACAATACACAACATAACAGAAGCACGCGGTATGCTAGCTATAATTCTATCTGTCCTTATTATAAGCGTGACACTGAAGGAGGCCGTTCTTTTGCTGTATCAGCAATCAGCAACAAGACTTTGGAATGATGTGCCGCTAAATATCAGAAAGATAGACACTTAGATAATATTATGGCAACGTCGAGGATGTGGAGGGGTTGTAAAAAGAACGACTTTTTCATGTTTAACGCGCTTGTTTCGCCTCATGGCGTTAAGAACGAGGTATATTTCATTGTAGCGCGCTTGTTTCGCCTCATGGCTCAAAGAACGACGTAAATTTCATGTGTAGCGGCGTTTGGCTTAAAGAACGACGAATGTTACATGTGTAGCGCGCTTGTTTCGCCTCATGGCTCTAAGAACGATTTATATTTCTTTGTAGGGCGCTTTTTCCCCCCTCGTGGCTTAAAGAACGACGTATATTTCATGTGTAGCGTTTGCCTCGCTTCATGGCTTAAAGAACGACGAATGTTACATGTGTAATGCGCTTGTTTTGCCTCATGGCTTAAGACGACGTATATTCCATTGTAGCGCGCTTGATTCGCCTCATGGCCTTAAGAACGACGTATATTTCATTGTAGCGCGCTTGTTTCGCCTCATGGCTCTAAGAACGACCAATGTTACATATGTAGCGCGCTTGTTTCCCCTTATGGCTCTAAGAACGACCAATGTTACATATGTAGCGCGCTTTTTTCGCGTCATGGCTTTAAGAATGACGTACATTTCAAGTGTAGCGCGCTTGTCTCGCCTCATGGATGAGAGATATTTTTGCAAACTGACCTCGGGGGAGTTCGATCGACTCGTGCCAGGACGAACTGTCTCCATCGAATCCAATCGAGTCTGTTTGCCAATATCTTCAATCCCCCTCGCTCATGTTAACCTCTTACTTCCGGTACCACCAGTCAAGCGCCATACGGCCATTTCCGGTTCCGGTCGCAATAGGACTCAATCCGCCTGCTGGTGAAGGTAACCCGACTCAGGTCAGGTGTATTGGACATGTGTGAGTAAGTTTTGGCGGCTTTCTCTTTTCTTTCCTCGTTAAAAGGATCGACCGCAGAATCGAGAACAAGGTCGTTGCGCGGACGGCGCAAAAATTCCTTACCTTTCTCGGAAACTTTATATTGTCTCCACACCCTGTTAAACGAGTCGCATCTAGTTATGTTGAAGTTGATGTCTACATACTCTAGATTTACTGACTTTCGTAACACTTTTGACCACCAATCATCGGAACATTTTAGCCTCATTAGCTCCGAACCGGTAGAATAGGTACGAGACTTTTCTAGAAGCGTCTGCATTTCTGGTGTCGAGAATTTATCTCTCTTACTTCCTTTAATCATACGATTAACTCTTCCTCTCTCACACCATTCTGATATTTTATCAGTTTTCCAAAGTAACTCGCATCAATTAAAACCGTAAGTCTGTCAAGTTTTCTAATTTGTACAAGGTTTATCAAAGCACCACTATGAAAAGTTTGAGTCATTCAAGCTTTCATTATACATTTAAAGTTTAAGAGATTCCACTGTTTTCAATTACAACTAGTTTTTCCATGTGTTCGCTGGAAGTGTCCTTTCAGTTTTATAAAAAACTTTTTTTGTTGTTTGTATTTCTCTAGTTAAGTTTAGTTATTTACATCTCCTAGAATCATGATGTGTCAGTCTTAGCGTGCTATTCCTCGAAAGTCGAAAAAGGTCGGACAGTGTAAAATTATTTAGTTGGTAAAAAATATTGGATGTACGTTGAATTATTTGGGTTCTGCCTTTCAGATGGCTGAAATCCATGATGCCATGGAGTTGCTCCGTATTGAAGTAGAGAGAGGGAAGAAGACCCAAGAGACGAAGATAGAGAGAGGCGGAGAAGAGAAAGGGAGAGAAGCAGACAGGAGGACAGAGACAGGTTAAGGCAAGAGAGGAGGGTCGAGGAGGAACGGCGCGGAGAGACAACTGTCCAACCGCGTCAACCCTTACGGCAACCTCCACGTCAACCTCCACGTCGTCCCAATAAGTAATCTAAACTGCTTCCTACTGTTGGATACATTTTTAACCGTTTAATTTTGTTTTCCCAAGTCTTATTCGCGTATTTTTCAAACTTAAAATACATGATATAGCATGGCGCATTAACATACGAAACATCCCTTCGAGTGTTGAATATGTCTCGGAGTGCGAGCAGTGATCGAGAGAAATATTGTTTTTCCCTAAATTAAAATTAATTACACGCAAACGGACAAACAGAAAGGAAACGTAAAGCCCGGCGCACACTAGAGCTATCAGCTGAGCTGAGCGTCACTCGTGGCTGTTGGCGTAAGCTGTTTCCTCAAGTGTGCGGTGTCATGTTCTGCGATTTTTGTCACGCGTGCCATGAGCTCAGAATATTCAACATGTTGAATAATTTCGTGCACGAGTGAACATTGACTCACAGTGTGCGCGCGCCTTGCCAGGACGGGGATATCAACGCTAAAATTTCTTCAAATGAAGTTCTGTCTAGTCGGTGATATTGTCTGAATTTTTCTGGATCTTCATAATTCAATTCGCGAACAATATTTGCACATGCCCCTTGGGTTTGGCGGCGTGAAACCCAAGATTTTACCCACGTCTTTCGGTTAGCTGCTCTCAAGCGTCTTCGTCTTCGTCGCAGCATTAAAAGGGAAAGCAAAACCTCTTCATCCTCCGCCGAGCTTGAATCTAGATTTTCACCGACATCTGCCATCTTGACTTCAATAAAACATGGCAAGGACGCATGCGTGTTCGCATTGATTCCTGAGCTGATAGCTCAAAACGCGCGCACACTGTGAGTTAATGTTCACTCGTGCACGAAATTATTCAACATGTTGAATATTCTGAGCTCATGGCACGCGTGACAAAAATCGCAGAACATGACACCGCACTCTTGAGGAAACAGCTTACGCCAACAGCCACGAGTGACGCTCAGCTCAGCTGATAGCTCTAGTGTGCGCCGGGCTTAAAGGTAACACCGAACCATTTCATTTGCGTACGAATTACTTTGTAACCATAGCGTTGGCATTCACATGTAAAAATAACATGTTGCACATGTCACATTTTTGCGGGAGGTCTTCCAGTAATTCACTCCTATTTGTTTAATGAAAAGGACATGGCCGCATGGAGATACAAGTGACCCTCTCTTAATGAAATGGCAATCCACTTTAATTTCGTTGCAAAAGACACAACTGTTATTCAATCGTAGAGACTATGTAATTTTCATGATTTCGCGCGAAGGGTCACGTGGTTTTTACAGCTATTGTTATAACAAAAGTCTTTATTTCCTTGCAGAGAAATGTTACAACTGTGGAGCCGTAGGCCATATTCGGGCTCAATGCCGAAGACCCAGGCGTCGAGATAGAAAAGAATACAAAAGGGACAGTGACGTGGGTGGTATTCATTACCACTTTCACGGCACTGTCCAAAATCTTAAAACTTCTTAATAAAGAGTGTTTTAAATGTGAAATGTCGGATAGTGCATCATTTCTAAATTCACATGGCAAGGGATAATGTGGGTAATGACTGGTCTTGAAATTGCGAACTGGAACGATAACACATCCTAACACATCCCTGGAATTTAAAAGTCACAGTTTCTGTGTTAGCAAGATAAATTGAAAACGTCAGACCGACGTTTTTCATCTGCGTTGTTGTAGCTTTCAAGTTTCCGATTGAATTTCTTTCTTTGCCAAAGAGTTGAACGCCAAGGCTTGCCTTTAGCATCGAATCTCCACTTTTTACTGCCCGGATCGTTGCTTGGGTCATGTTTAACTGAAACTGATCAACAAATCGATCAGCACAGCAACCAAGCTTGCTCAAAGTGGGTTTTGAGTCTGTTTACTCGACAACTTTCGGCCAGTGAGAGTGAGCTCACATCATTATTTATATCATCGTTTGAACATGGATCCAAGGTATCCATCGTCCAAAAGCAGACAACCAGTCAGAGAAGTCAGAATGAAGTTGTGCGCTTCTCTTGAAACTGCAATCTGGCAAGCCAGCGGATTCTCTTTGCTATGCTAAGCAATGACTATTCTTAAAAGATCCACGTGATCATGCCCGTGATCGAAAACAAAGAAGACTCCATTTGGCGCCTGTCTTTGAATGAACAACAACAACAACAACAACCTTTATTTATGTGTCAAATCTAAAATAGCAGTTATACAACCACTAACTGGGGACACTAAATACTACCTAAAAATTTGAGAAATTTAAAAATAAAACAATATATATGTACAATTTAAAATCTAACCTAAGTCTTACATAAAAGGCAGTTTTCACATTTACTATCAGTCAATTTAGAAACAAGGTCTATTCTACGTATGTTACATTTAAAAGATGATATGGATGTCAGTTCTCTTACATTTCTTGGTACAATTGCCCATATTTTGGGTCCCATATATCTAAGCGAATGTTTTCCAAAAGTGACAGTATTAAATCTAGGTATACCAAAATCATTATTACGCAGTGTGTACCTAAGTTGTGGAATTTGAAAAAGGCTACATATGTAATTAGGAGATAAATTGTTCTTTACCTTATACATAAGAATGGCTATGTCCTGTAGTCTTCTGTTCTGCAGTGTACTTAGGTTAGCCATGTCTAATAATTTATCATAACTACTCCCCTTATCACAGTAAACTGCCCTAAGTGCCCTTTCTTGAATACGTTCCAATTTTCTAGTATCACTCGCCCTACAAAAATGCCAGACAAGATGGCTGTATGTTAAATACGGAAGAATGGCTGCCTTAAACAACTTCAGCTTGGTGTCTGTTGGTATCATATTCCTGAGCCTCATCAGGACTCCAACACGCTGGCTACTCCTCTTACAAATGTTAGCAATGTGTTCATCAAATTGAAGCCTATTGTCTATATATACCCCAAGAAGTTTTAAACACTTGGTAGATTTAACTTCATTGTCATCAATTATAATACTATCCATATCATTATTTTTATTCCCAAGTGTCATTGTCTGATACTTGTCATAGTTCCCTTTTAAGAAATTCGATCTATACCATCTGGAGGCTAATTCGGCACTTGCTATTAACTTATCATGCACCTCAGTAACATTACTGCCTGCAGCATGGAACTGGTGGTCGTCTGCATACATATTGATATTAGAATTAGAATTTACACTGTATGTCAGATCATTTTGGAACATGTTCCATATCAATGGTCCAAATGCGGAGCCCTGTGGACATCCCCTTGACCCCCTCTCCCACTCACTCACTGTGGATCCCAACTTCACCCTATTGTACCGATCAGTGAAGTAGGAGTCCAACAATTTTAGACTGTTCCCCCGAATACCATAAGCCTTTAATTTAGCAAGTGTGAGTGGATAGTAGAGGGAATCAAAGGCTTTACTCATGTCCGTAGAAAGAACACCTACCACTTTATGTTCATCTAAAGATATCTTCCAATTCTCTGTCATAGCCAGTAGAGCTGTTTCGCAGCTATGATTTTTCCTGTAGGCTGTCAGTTTATCACATAATTTATCATTGAAACTATAATTAAGCTGTTTACTAAGTAACTGTTCAAAAATCTTATTTATAGTAACTTGTACAGTTATGGGCCTATAGTTCTTTTTCTCATGGGGGTCCTCTTTCTTAAATACTGGTGTCCACTCTCCTTTCTTCCACACCGCAGGCCACTCACCCAATGTTATACATGAATTGTATAATGCTGTCAGAGGCCCTGATAGTTCTCTAGCACCCAGCTTAAATGCTTTGGGGGGGACACCATCCCAACCAGTACTCTTTCTGGGGTTAATACTTTCCAGTGCGGTCTCCACCTCAAGTATCTCCAGATTCCGAAACTGGAAGTCTTGATGGCCTATCATATTCTCTGTGATATTCCGAACACTTGAATGAGTCACAAAAGAAGAGTCAGTAATGCCTTCTGTGTCACCAATACCATCAGCAATGGTAGAAAAATAGTGACATAGATGATTTGCAATCTTACTTTGATCATGACTTATCGCTCCTTCAATGTTTAAGCTCAACTCATTAGTGGTACCCTTATTCCTCTTTTCACTCAAGAAGGGCATAAATGTTTTATAGAACTCACCAGGCTTACATTTCAATTTAGTAGTTTGATCTTTCCAATACTCCCTTATCGCCTTTCTCCTGAGTCTAGTGGCCTCGTTTCTTGCTTTACGTTTAGCCTCCCAATTCTCTCTGTTTTGCACCTTCAGATATTTCTTTGCTGCTCTTCTCTTAGCCCTAATGGCTTTTTTCCATTCGTTTGTCATATAAGGGACATCTTGAGTCCTCACTCTCATTTTCTTTTCCGGAAGATGCTCATCAACAATACTAGATAACAATGTTTCCAAAAAACTGGTCTTATCATCAGCAGTATCAAAAATTTCACCTACATGCCAGGGAGCCTGCATCAGTTCGTCCTTATACTTTTCTGCGTCAAGATGTTTAAATGATCTAAATTTAACAATCTTGCCTTTTTGAGGTTTTACCTTCTCATTCAAGAACCCATATACAAGTGCATGATCACTGATCTCTGGGTTATATACTCCACAGTCACCAAACAATTGTGGTTGGTTGGTGAGAATAACATCTATCAGACTGTGTGTAGTAATTGATCCTTGCATTTGTATCCTTGTAGGTGTGGTTATCATACAGTCAAATCCCTGTTCCACTTCAAGGTCAAGCAGTAGTTTACCCTCAGTGCTATCTGGCTTAAGCCTATTCAAATTCAAGTCACCAGTCATTATAACAGTTGAGTACTGCAATCCAGCCCAGTTGGAAATATGGCTCAGTTCTTCTTCTAGCAATAGTTGATAGCTTCCAGTGACTTTCTTTGGTGGCCTATAGATAGCCACGACTATTGCATTTCTTGATTTAAGGCCAATCTCTAGTGCCAGAGGCTCGATTGTTTTGTATTTCCTTTCAATGGATATCCTCTTAGATTGTATCTTGGAAGAAACAAACATGAGAACTCCACCACCTCCTTTCTTCCTATCATTCCGGTGTAAATAATAACCCGGTATGAGAAACTGACAATCTGGGTACGATCCATCAATTTTTGTCTCACTTACAGCCATAATTTGCACAGTTGATTTGAGAATAATATCCTTCAATTCCTCAAATTTCAACGGTTGATCGCTCGCTCGGTTGATCGCTCGTGCGTCAAGTTATTTCTTTTCTCAACTGTTTTGTTTAATATAACATTTCTAAAGATGGGTTTTATTGTGGTTCATTGGGAAAACGAGAACTGTTTGTGTTTCACAGGGAACACGCCATTTTGAAAAAAACTAAACCACGTTTATTTGACTGACAGTTTATACAAACCGGAAACTATGGCGAACACCGGAAGTTCGCGTATCGTGAAACATCTTCCCTTTTTTTTTTTTTTTTTTTTTTTTTTTTTTTTTTTTTTAAAAAACAAAATAACAATAATGACCTAATCATGACAAGTGTCCAAAATGCACTTAACAAAAAAAAATATCTGCTTGTACATGTAACAGTTTCATACTAGTAAAAATAAAAGCAAATAAACAACAACAACAAAGTGTCTCAATGTTCAGTGTCTCATGTTCAGTGTCCATAACTGGTTTAGACGCTCAGACATAGTCCTTGAATCTCACAGGTGTCTTCACAATTCTGGTACGGGTTGATTTCAGTGGCACACTATGATTCTGCTGCGGGGTATCGCTGACTTTAACTGGTGTAGTCACATCACTGTGATTGGTACTCCTTAATGCTGTTTGTCCTTCTGTCTCTGCAGGTACAGATGAGGGTGGTTTTGTTTCAGCAATAATAGTCTCACCATTCATTTGGGTGTCTTTCTTGGGCCTCAATGCCTGTCTGTTTCGACGTAGTGTGTTTCCATTGACTTCAACAAGGTATGAGCGATCTGATAGCTTCTGGACACAGGTGCCGGCTTCCCAGACTTTGTTTCGCTGACCAGCTACTCTAACTTCTTGGCCTATTTCAAGCTCTGGTAGCACCTTGGCACTTCTATCGTAATAGCCTTTAGCTGTCTGCCTCTTGGCCTTCAACTTCTCTTTGACTCCTTCTTCTACTCTGGGGTACAGAAGATTTGCTGATACCGGTAGCAATGTACGTGTTCTTCGGGACATCAATCTCTGTACAGGGCTAGAGTTCACACCTTGTGTTGGTGTGTTCCGTTGATCCAATAACGCAAGCCATGGGTCTTTGTTGTCCCTGTGAGCTTTCTTGAAAATCTTCTTGGCCACTTTGACTGCGGATTCGGCCTTGCCATTGGATCTGGCATGTTTAGGTGATGACGTCACGTGTTTAAACTCCCATTCTCTGGAAAACTCTGTGAACTCTCGGCAGCAGTACTGCGGTCCATTGTCGGTAACAAATACATCAGGTATGCCATGGCGACTGAATTGACCTTTGAGGAACTCTATGATGTAGCTCGCAGTTGTGCCTTTTAACTCGCCAACTTCTATGAAATCTGAGTAGCTGTCTGCAAGCACAATGTACTCCTTGC